GGATGCATTACTGTAGCATTATCTTTTTGTTTTTATTTGTTGACGTATTTCCTTTCTTCTCTAGTTCCTTAAACTCCTGTTATTTATATATTTTTTTCTATTATTACAGGTACAAACAATAATAGTGAAATTAGTGAAATACTACTCCACATACATAGGAAGATAATTATATCCTAGTTTTGTTTTTGGATGATTGAAACCTGGATGTTTTAAAAAGTAAAAGCTACATTATTATATACTCTGAAAATTAAGTTGGCTTCCGAATTGCCTGCATGGCTAGACCCTAAGATGAATTATGGATCTAAAAGCAATAATGTAACTGCCCCACTGATGCGTCTCCCATAGGGATGCAATGAATCGAGCCGCTCGCGAGCCGTTCGATTCAAGCTCGAGCTGGTCGAGCCAAAGTCGAGCTCGAGCTCGAGCTCAAAACATTAACCTCGTTAGCTCGCGAGCCGGCTCGCGAGTTCGAGTATATATATATATATATTTATTTTTTATTTTTATTTTTAATAGTAAAATTATATAAATATTCTTAATATTTTATTATTTATTAAGAAAAAATATTATTTTATTTATTTTTTTAAAAATAAAATAATTATTTTTTATTTTTTCGAGCTCGAGCTCGAGCTTGAAAATTACCAACTCGTCGAGCTCGAGCTCGAGTTCGAGTTCGATGAAATTAAGTCAAGACTCGACTCGATAAGGCCAAAACTCGACTCGACTCGACTCGTTTGTAGCCCTAGTCCCCCATATCAACTTTGCACCTTGTTTCACAACTTGCTGCTTTGGACTATCTTTAAAATCAAAACTTAACTCAAATGGAACTATATATGAGATTTACTTTTTATGGATTAAACTTTTCTACGCTGACAGTGTATACATTAAATTGTTAGCATTGGATGAATAACAATTATATAAAATTTGAATTTAAAATTTAATTTTTACACACATATCATAAATTCAACCATGATAGTGTATATAAAATTTACTCTATATTTATAACGGAGAGTTTTCAGGAGGAAGAAGAGATACCATTCTCACAAATGCTGGAGAACGTCAGCTCCAGGCCACAATTTTTTCAGATAATTCCAACTTAAAAATATTTCAGTAATTGACCGGTGAAAATTTAACCATGCAAAGCCGTATCTCACGTTTCTTTAATTAGCTTTCCTTTTCTCTATGTTTGTACCTCATCATCAATTGCCTGAATTTTCAGATTAAATCGTTGTGGATTTTGACCATCTGTGTTAATCTACAGTTCTTGGTCTTTCAAAAATAAATAAATAAATAAAGTTCTTGAAGTATAAGTTAACTTGCTAAGTTGACCACCCTTATTCCTTAATTAGGCACGTGTGGAACTAGGTTAAGAGAAGAATCTTTTACATTTGTCAGTTGTCACTCATTATTACTCCCTAGTTAAACCTGCTTTCCAGTATGATATTCATCACATGACTATCAAGTTGCATTAAACTAAAGCCAGGAGGGCTTCACTTGTCAACTAGGATATATAAAGGCTGCAATGCTCATCCTTACCTTCTTGTAACATGTACTTACAACTCTTTCCATCTATAAAGATAGTTCTATTTCTTTTTTTCATATAGATTAAGAAATTTAATTAATACAGTTACAATAGTTACTTTTTGTTCGTACTTTTCTCAAATATTCCTTATTAATATTAGATCATTCATTCAAAGTAAGAGGCACGTATTATTAAGGATAAATTTTATATATAGTGATAGTGTATACACTGTTACCATTAGATTCATGACACATGAGTAAAAGTTGGATTTTAAATTCAAATTTTGCGTAATTGTCAGTCATTCAAGACTAACAGTGTATACACTGCAAGTGTAGGAAAGATTAATCCTATTATAATTATTTTGTCCTTGCAACTTAGAGTATTTTAGTTTTTCAATACAAGAGTTAATCTAATTCATGTTATATATTTGACTAAAATGAATCACAAAAACAAAATTTCTAAACAATCAAACTTTTCAATTTAGAGCCATTAGAAGACAACTATTATATTCAAAAATTGCTAATAACTATGCATATTACATATGGGTATGTTAGTAAAATAACAAATTAACAACTCTTTAAAAAAAAAATAGGCTTATAAATTGGGGTAAATACAAAAGAAAAATGAGCCTATTTTTATAGGACGGAAGGAGTATCTATTAATTCATGCTACAATTTGTACCTCTGAAATTGTAACTCCTTGACTAATTTAAAGAGTAAATCTTATACATATTGTCGGTGTATACACTATCACCGTTAGATATATGACTCATGTGTAAAATTTGAATTTTTGCTCATGTGTCATTAATCCAATCATGATAATGTATACATCCACAATGTATATATGATTTATTTTTTACAAAATATGAGAAAGTAATGTGAACGTTAATATTCAGACAAGCCTAGGAACACAACTAGAACTCCTAGAAATCTTTGTCAAACATGGACTATTGTTCCTATTCTCGTGGCTCCTCTTTGCTATTTCCCTCATAGTACAGGTGAAGGAGAGTTTAGGGTTCAATCTGGTGGTAGAGTTGAACTCTTGACAGAAACTTCTGTGATTGCCAACAGCTTCTTCAATGGCTAGTTGTTTTCCCTTTAACCTTTCCTTTACAGCTTCCGAGCAAAGCCCACAAACAAATTTACCCGAGTAAGAATCTTTAATTTGTAGGACGTATTCTTGGGTGCATTCTTCTTGGAGACCACAGCAGTTGCATTCTTCTTTCATCACCTCATCAATCTTGGCAATGGTTGCCAAGTCCTTTCCTAGTTTATCTATTTCACTTGAAACATCGGACACCACCTTCCGAAGCACCTGCCCATTCTGTTCAAAAAGAGGCAAAAAAGTTGAATCATCATCAAAAGATAAATCTTCATGTATACTTGAATGCAACATTTACACACAAAAATTAAAAAAAAAAATGAACAAAAAGATAATGGAAGTTAACTTCTTGTACATTTGAATGTATACTGTAAATTATAGAGCCATGCATGCAGTTTTGTTTGTTCCTCATTGCAGAGGAAGGGCCATTGAGCTTTAGTACGTATATATGTTACAAATGAGGACTTACATACCATGACAGGCAAGAGGGTTGCTTCTGCATAAGCTGCTTTAGTTGTCATTTGACTCATTTCTTCTTGAAACGAGATGAGCTTCATTTGAAGGATAACCGGCAAATATAATGAGACAGCTCTTTATGCATCTCCGTGGCTATTTATAGGAGAAAACCAGGGTTTAATTAATGAAAGTATGTGACAGCTGCAAAGTGATAAAATCAACCAAAAAAAAAAGGCAAGAAAAGTTGGAATTGCTTTAATAAATCATGAAGCTATCTTTTGATGCTGATTAAGACCTTTACCTGTTTGAAGGTTGTAACTCCGAATACAGATTAAGGTTGCTTTCTTGCTAGCAATCAATGCGCAAAATGCATGCATGCACAGCTATGTTCCCGTTTGCATTTTGCAAATTGCAACAGATAGATAACACAGACATTGGTATTCCTAGTTCTTGAGCATAAATATAATAATATCAAGTGTTGAGAAAGTTGGATACGGCTCGTGAGGATTCACAAGTGAATCTTGATATCACCTATCTAAGAAGTAATCCATGTTGCGAAACCTATTAGTATTTGCATACATAGGTAGGCATATCTCTCATGTGACTACTCGTAGATCTTCTTTGTTACAGTATTTTTAAGGCTGCAAGCAGAACCAATTCCCTCAAAAGGCAAATGCAGATGATCGATACAGTTGAACATAGTCTTGTTGGATAAGAACTATTCATTGCATTCTTCTGTCTCTTTCATATACTGTTCAAAGATATTTGTTTTAGTCAATATATTTTGGAATATGTATTATTCAGAAAAGTGTAAAACGTTACCAACATATTTCATTTCAGGATTCGGTCCAACAGATTTATGTATAAATCCGTAGTATATATAAATCCAGCCCTTTTTTTTACATATTAAACCTCAAAGCATGATAGAGACTCTACTTAATTCATCACAAAGGCGTTAAAAATGCGAAGACATCACTAGAAGAAATTAATTGGTTTTTCCCTTATCAGCTACTAAATTTTTTCATTAAAATATACCTTTTTGTGTTAATGGATTGGAATAAAGCCATCAGCAGTGAAATTAAGTTCACACCACTTGCTGTGTAACAATTACACAACCACTTAACTATCAATTCATTGTGATGATTAAGCTACCATTTTTATGTTCTTGTGTACTTCTCAGCTTTGAGCGGCGAAAGTTATTTGTTCTTGTCTCAGTTTTATCAGGTCAAGTACTAATTCTTGATTAAGGTTCAATGTCAATGTATAGACTCTTTCTTTCCTTGGGGTTAATCTTCTTGATTGAGAGAAGGTTTCACTCGACCAAAAACATAGACACTCACTTCTTCTGTAGTCGTGGATGTCTAGGCAACATACTAACTCAAAAAGGTGAACATGATCAGCTACCCAATTTTGATCAAAAATTTTTTTGTCCCTATTAAAACTTTAAAATCATATAGGGCTGTTCTCTTGAAATCAATTAAATCTTACTCCACGCTTTTACTCTTGAACAACTTGGAGCTTGTCCTTCTTTTCAGCTTTCGCGCTATTACGGATATGAAAATACTGATAAAAAAAGGGTTACGAGCAAAACTTCGACCCAATCAGAAGCCAAAATAGGCGTTATAATTTTTCTCATATTTGTATGAGGCCTAACTTTAAATTTCAATACAAGCAACTCCAACTAAGGAAAAAAAATAAATAAATAAAGGGAAATGTGGGATGCTTGTAAAGTAACCTCTTCCGATACTGGTTATGTGTTTGATGAATTTATCTGAATTTCTAATAAAATGTGATTAATCGTAATTTGCAAAGTCGACAATGGCATCAGACTGGAAATAAATAATAATATGTGAAATTGAGAAGTAGACCCCTCACAAGTTGCAAACATTCACTGGACAATCGCTTAGTCTGAATCCGTCCAGAACGTCCATGGCCCTTGAGCCCACATAAACTCACCTGACGAAGCCCAACGTTGGGTTGCAGATATGACGTCGTTTTGGTCTTCACTGTGCTCTCTCAGCTGATTCCAGCTTCCTCCGACCCCTCTCCTCAGACACTTCACTTCTCTCCTTCCTTTGCCATTTCCAAAACCTCAATAAAGATTCACAGAAACCTCAAAAATTTTTGTGGGTTCTTTCAATTATTAGACTTTATCCATTAAATTTCATGTTTTCCTCCCCCCTTTGGTTTTTTTTTATGTACAGTGTCTCGTTCAGCTGAAATGATTTAGTGCCATCTCAAGACATCAAGAAAGGTACACCTTCTCCTCCATATGATACTATTTCAGCCTTCTTTCTTCATTTTTTCGTCAATTTTGGAGATATTGCATGTTATAACTGATATTTCTCTATGTTTGGGGTGTCTGTGTGAGTGAGTGAGTGAGTGTGTTTATTTTTCTTTTTGTGCAATATGGCCTTTAAAAATGCGAAGATCAAATTTTTATGCAGAAAATTTGTTGCCAGTGAATTTAGTTCTAGTCAATTATAATTATTCCTATTATGCTACTTGAATAAACTCTAGTCTTATAGTGTGACACTGTTTGCAGTTTTGATTCTGTAAAATATTTTTTGGCAGGCATTTTCCTATTGGCCTGAATTTTAGCTTTGGGTCTTTACCATTTCTGTAGTGGTTATAGCATGGTCATCTTAATTTATGCTATTAGAGGATTTGCATACAAGAATTCTAAATGCATTTCCCTGTAGTCCAGTATATATGTTTTCTTGTATTGGTTTGTTTTACTTAAAATATTCTTTGCATCATTTAGGTGTTAAAATGGATTTAATGGCTAAATGTGCATGTGGGCATGTTGCAGTAGACGTATGCGATACTGGTAGTGGTGATAGTGATTCTGGTGAGGGTAATAGGAGAAGTGGTAAAGAAAATGGGATGAACATAGACACCGAAAATAATAATAGAAGTAAAACTGCTGGTGCTGAACCTGACACCAGAACTGATGATACTCGTGACGTGAGTTGGGTGGATTTGGATAAAGGCTTGCATGAGCTGACTGAAAATGACGTGTTTCACCTGAAATTTGACTGTGATGAAGAGGCAGGACTGTTTTATGAGACTTATGCCAAGCTTGTTGGGTTTAATGTTCGAAAGGTGCATACAAGACGTGATGAGAATAATAAGGTAAGATATAGGGGATGGGTTTGTTCAAGAGAAGGTTTTCGGGAGAACAGGATAAATATGTGGGACAGGAAACGAGATCCTAAACCTGTAAGCAGAATTGGCTGTCTTGCTCACTTTCGGGTCAAATATGATAAGAAATCAGGCAAATATGTTGTTACGAGTTTTATTAAAGAGCACAATCATGAGTTGGCACCTCCTATAGTTGTCCCCTTTCTGCAGCCACAAAAGCGTGCACGTAGAGTAGCTGTAGATGTTGGGTTTACTAAGAAAGATATAGAGCGTGAGTGGGCTAGCTCTGACATTCGTGATGGCGACAGTAGGTGTGTCTTAACTCACAGTGTCTTAGCTTACTTGAGTGCTAAGAACGACTATGATCCAGGGTTGTTTTATAAGTATGATCTTGATGAAGAAAATCAATTGTGTAGTATATTTTGGGCAGATTCAAAGTCTAGAGCAGATTATGCCTTCTTTGGTGATGTTTTGGTTTTGAACACTAAATTTAGAAAGAATGCTTACGAAAAACCTTTTATTATTCTTGCGGGTCTTAATAATCATGATCAGACAACCGTATTTGGTTGTGCACTATTGGGAGGCAAGACAGCTGAGACCTATGTATGGCTCCTTGAAACATTCTTGGAAGCCACGAATCACAAAGCACCTGTCTCAGTTATTACAGATGGTGACAAAGCTATAGAAGAAGCAATTCAGAAAACATTCCCCACATCTCAGCATCGTATATGTCGCTGGCACCTATTTAAGGATGCTGTTTCAAGTGCTGGTGACTCATCATCTTTTGGGCCTGAGTTCAAGAAGTGTATGGAGGAAAATTGGAATCCAGAAGAATTTGAGGTGGCTTGGATCAAATTGGTGGAGAAATATGGACTTCAAGGCCATCCATGGTTTGAAGAGACTTACTCCAGGCGTACAAAATGGGCAGAGGCTTACTTACGGGAGCATTTCTTTGCTGGTCTGACCAGTATTCGAGGCCATGGAATGAACACATATTTCACCCGGTTCCTGCAAGTTTGGCACAAGCTTCATGAATTTGTGAGGCACTATGACAAGGCTCTTGTTTGTCTTCGTGAAGATGAGGCAAAAGCAGATTCTGAGTCAGAAAGCGCGTATGCTGCTTTTTGTACAATTTTGAGGGATTTAGAGAGGCATGCTGCTGATGTCTTCACAAGAAGTATGTTTCTCAAAGTTCGTGAACAGATAATGGGCGATGCCATGCTAATTTTGAGTGGAAAAGAGTACCTCAAAGATGATGCCTGTTGGCTTTATAAATTTTCTGAATATATGAAACCTGACGCGATATGGAAGGTTCGATATGATCCAAGCAATCAAAGCTTGAAATGTTCCTGTTTCAAGTTAGTCACAGATGGAGTGCCTTGCTGTCATATGGTTTCTGTGATGAAAGCTGAACATCTGAGAGAATTTCCTAGATGTTGCATTCACAAAAGGTGGACCAAATGTGCAAGGAGTGAAATAGATTCTGGGATCGATATTCAAGCCTTAAATATGGCCACTCAAGTTGCACGTTTTCGAATTTTAAATTCTACCTGTAGTGAGATGAATTATTATGCTTCTCAGACAATTCAAGGTTTTAATGAAACACGGAGTCTCATTTCTAAGATCACGTCTCGTGTGAAGCATATTTACAATTCAAAGGGTGAAGTGGACGAAACAGCACCAGAAGTCAGCCTGGATGCTGATGGCTCAACCACAAGGTCTGGTATGCATGATCCCAAATCAACAAACTCCAGTGGGCAATGTGACGCTACTGCAGTGGAAACACCTCAACCTGACGATTGCAGCCAGCGCAGGTAATGGGAACGTAAAAAGCTTTGAACTGCCATGTTTGATTTTTCCAGTGGATGGAGTTCTTAGCATGTATGTTATTTCTCCAACTTTTTTCATTTTCCTGCAGACATTATTGAAAATGTGAGTGTCATACTGTCAAATAATGTTCAACAAACTGTAAGAAAACAGGAACTGCCCAGGGTACATGTTGCTTTCAGATGTTTTTGCAAGGACTAAAGAGTTAGATAGTGTTTTCAGATTTGAGTTCAGCATGCTTGTATGCCCATCTTTAAGTATGGAATACGGCGTTTGATTGCATCTCTTTTCGTGTTGCACTGCCCATCTTATTGATTTTTTTAGGTCATCTTACTGAGTTATTTACCTGGAAATTGTGCTTCAAACTGCCACAATAATTCTTTCTGCTGTAATCCTGCATCTGTAATCACGCTTTTTTTTTTATTTGAGACCCGTAAATCAGATCAAAGAGAAATTATTGATGTTTGTCTTATTTGAAGCTAGTAAAAATCCGTAGTAACAAAAATATTCTTCTATTGTTGCACCAGTCATGATCAGACTACATCCCAGCAGCTGCGTCTAAATCATGGCTTGCAAACATCTGAAGGTACTGGTACAACAGATGATGGTGAGGGACGCACACAGAATGGAGAATTTTCTGGAGCGCCAAGCCAGCCCATAAACTTGATTTGGGAAGACAATGATTAGATTCATCCGAACGCCTATCTGGTAGGTCTTATCCCCTTTTAAGTTCTACATTTTTGACATAGCAGATTTGTCCCTGTCTCAGAAAGTTATATTGTAAGACCCCTTTTACTCGTATCAGTAGATTGAACGAGTTAACATACTGTGGAGAGAAAATGAATTTTGATTGAAGGGTAAATATACAGAGTCCTACTTCAATAGAACTATTGGTTAAATAGGTCATGTTATGCATGGCTTCAAATTTAAGGTAGTTAATTTTATTTATCCCTGCAGGTATATTGCTGATTTAGTTACTGATTGGTCACAGTATCTAGAGAGTGACTATGAATTTGGGGACAAAGGAGCTAAATGTTGGTTAGAAATATTGAGGGGTAAATTAATAGTGGGTATAAGTTTGGGAGGATCAATTGTAACAGCCCTCCATAGACAGATGTCAATGTTTAGATTCACTCTATGATGTTCTATTCACCCAATCATGGTATGTTTAGACTATTAATTTCTGGTTATTGGCCATAGCAAAGAATTTATTGATGGATTTTGCTAGTGGGACATTTTTAAGTCTTTGGAGCAAGGTAATACTCCAATATAAGTTTGACAGCTCTTAATCTAATAATACCCCTCAGACTAGATATGTTACTGTTCACATTGAACCTACGATGATTTTTTCAACTAATTATAAGAAGTGAAAATTATTTGGGGCCTCACTATTGTCGCATTCAAAAATTTTGTAGACTGATTGTGTTTATAATGCTTCCCAATTTTGCCCAGGGAACTAACTCCACCAATCTGCAAATTGTATTTGACTTAATTTTTCTGATGCATTCTTTGGAGCTCCTTTTCATTAAAGTGTAGCTCGTGTACTTCTATGACATACTTATGTTTTAGGACCGAGGATTTCTTATTTTTCTCAACTTATGTTGTTGGAAATGTGAATAAGATTGCATGTTTAGGAGACACATTTATGATTCCCCAGCTGTGCTTTGTCAGAAAGGAAGCTCCAGCCCTCATAACAAATTTCAGTATTCTTTAATCTTGTTCATTCTCTTAATCTGTTCCTGTTCCCAGTAAAATGTTCTTAAGTAGATATTTATCTAAAGCAAGAGCTTTTTCCTTTATTTTTTATTTATTTCTCTCTCTTTTGCGCATGTGTGTGTGTGTGTGTTTAAAAGTCCTTTTCTTCAAAATTCGGAAGATCTCTTGTTCTTTCATTTTGTAAGTATCTTCTCTACCCTCATGCAGAAATTCTACCATTTCCCATAGTTGACCAAACTACAAAATTTTAAAAACAAAAACTTTCATATGTTAAAGATCACCTGCTCTACAGTGCCATATGTAACAAGCAAAAATGTTTTTTTTTGCATCACTGTGTTGAACTACAGTTGTGGATCGGTCCATAATAAAATATTGAAGCTTCACAGAATATTACCATTGTTTTTGTAACTTTAGTCTGAGACACAGTATGTTTACTGTAGATTTTGAAAAAAAATATACTACTAAAATTGACTGTTAAAAAATAAAAAAATTGACTGTAAAATACAAATTCAAGTTGGAATAGTGACTCAGTACTTCCAAACAGATTAGGTTCTTGCAAAATTGGTTTTTAGCTTTGGCTCAAAACAAGAGGATGTGTTGGAAAAATCTCTTCAGACATCATGGATGTATGATATATTGAAAAATACATTATGCATTGACTGGATTGCCACTAACTTGGGAATTAGATATTATGTGGAATGGATTTTGGCTTGCTTTTCTTGATTGTGGGTTGTAACACTTTAGGCTGATTGTTCGACTTTGTAACAAAGTATGGTGTCAGTTTAAAATGCAAGAACTAGTGTAAGTGAAATGTTTGGGGTAGCATTCTAAGAGTAATTAGTCACTAAATCTTTTTCCAGCCAATGACCAAGAGGTTTAAGCCGGGGGCTAGACTACACACCTGATGAATAGGCATGTACATTCTCAGAAGCATTGCTGCTGCATTTCTTCTTCTTTTTTTTTTTTGGGTGTTAGTGATGGTTTTCTGTTACTCAATTTCAGGTGTACAAGTATTAGAGGAGTTGAACTGGATTCGACTTTATCCACCCTGTCGGCCTCCTTTCTTCTATCAAAGGAAGGAAGGCAGAAGTTGGAAGAAGTTGCTTTTGGTTCCCGCAGCTTTGCACATATTTCGTCTCTGCTATGCTGTAAATTTGTAGTTCGACATGACATGCAGGTTCCCTTTTTTCCTTAGGTGCTCTGTCAGGCAAAATGGTTATGTTCTAACTGTAACAATCGCAGCTACGCTTGTATTGTGCTAAATTAGTCAAAATGCAACTTGTGTTAATTTTGTTCTCTAACTTTATTATCCCTTGGAAGAAAAAGAAAAGCAACCAACTTAAAATGATCTATGACTGGTGCAATGCCTGCTATAGCTCTTTTTTTAACCCTCTTGATTATTTTCAGGTTTGTTAAGTATAACTTTTTTATCTTTATTAGTGAATTTCCTTGTATTATAGGAATTCGCTGTACTAGTTAAAACTGTTCAACTACTGGGATGAACTAACTACAGGCTGCAATTAATTAAGCAATTTAATAAGCTGATCCAAGAGGATTGTACATTATAGTTTCGAATAAGTGAAAAAAAAATAATAATAATAACCCTGTATGAAGAATTGAAGGGTACTGCTCAACTTGTCTTGTGGCATATTGGCATGTCAGAATGGAGATCAGTTGCTTGGCTCTTGTACTGAGGATGGAGGCAAAAGACTATCTGAATTAAAATGTAGCTGATCTTCTAAACTAGTCAACATATTCTACTTAAATACCTTTTAGGGTCCGTTTGATAACATGAAAAAGTGTTGAATCTGAATTTTTTTCGGACATTCAGATGTTTTGAGTGTTTGATAAATGAAAATCTATTTGCTGAACTTGTTAAGCAGTGTTGAACCTGTGTGTATTTTTTTCAGTACAAGAATCCTAACTGAATGCTTAATTCTGATAAGAATCAATAGAATTACTTCAACTACTTTATCTTATCTACCAAATCTACCCTTATTTGTTAATTATGTTCAAAATTCTTATCTAATTAAACAACATAATATTCTCTATCTAACGATTTTTAGTTTCTCTTTTCTCCCTTTTTAATGACTTTCACATCTTATCCATATTCCTCATATAATATATTTTATCTTTTATATTAATTTGATTTAAAAATAAATATTGTCATTTTCATACCTAACAATTTTAAACTAATTAAATCATAGGTCTATTTCTTTTTTGAATGAAAGGATATAAGGGCAAAATTGTCAAATTAAACTTATTAAGCATTCAGTTATAAATATTTATCAAACAGTATAAATAAGTTTAGCATTAAAATTCAGACGTTCATATATTTTTTTCAGTGCTTAAAATTCAGTAAATTAATTGTTTCAGTATTTAGATTTCAGAATTTAGACTTCAGAATTCAGATTCAGTTTTATCAAACGGAACCTTATTCCCTCTTGTTGATAGATGAGCAATTAACCACTTCTTAATTGTTGATCTCCTTTTCAATTGCTTTTGTTTTTTCAAAAAAAAGAAGGATTAAATAAAGGGGATAAAGCATTTGATTGCCCAAATACTGATTCCACTAAAAGCAAATCCAATTGAGTAGTTCCAACCCTCCCTCTCCTTGTTTCTTAATTCTCATTCCTCCTCTGCTTTTAAAAAATATATATATATGGAGAAAGGGTAACTTGAATTGCGACCTCATGAATCTCAGTACAGGTAACTTTGACAAAATTCACCAAATAACTCGTTGGATAATCGGGCATTATTCGTTGGATTGAATCCAGGCTTTTTCTAGGTCTTGGCCAAGAAATTTCCTGAAATATGATTCGATTCACTTCACCAATGAATTGATGTGTTATATGTATTGTGACTAGGCACCTAGGGAAACCAAACAAGAATAAAAAGAAAAAAAATTCTTGGGCAATAACTTTACGTCTCTACCTATGAAATTTATGGGCATTTAAGTGCATAAAACGTGATGACTGTAATATTGATTTGGAAATCAGAATACCATATATTGTTCATGTTTTTTAGCATAAGAAAAAGAAAATGACTTTCATATTTGGTTTCTTTGCAGGGTCTGATTAAACCTATTCGGGTTAATCTAGCGATTAGGGGAAGTATTTGATTGAAACTATTGGGGTTAGTCTAATGATTAGGAGAAGGTTTTTAGAGTTCTCCCTACTATTAGTTCAAGATTCAAATCTAGGATCTCAAGGGATGATCGGTTAAAAAGGAGGGTTTGTGGGGGGGGGGGGGAGGTTATGGACAAGTTCAGTCAAAATTTTGCCCAAGAGAAATACTGGTTAATGAAAGTGCTGGAAATGGAACTAAGTAGCTTAAATATATAAAAGGGGAACGCCCATTTGTTACAGTACAACCATGTGCCGGTTTCGATGGTAATTCTGCTAATTTCGTGGGGTGTCTTGGTCTTTCCATCAACAAAATCCACCCAATCACACAACAAAATCCATCACCCCCAACACAGGCGCAGGGCCCAAAAACTAGTTTACATAAGAACAAGAACTGACCATTTGCATCAATTTCCTTATTTTTTTTTTAAAGAAAACATTTATTAAAAGGAAATTAGGAAAAATTTACAAGCTGCAGGCGACAAGTGAGCCTCCTTCCTTTAAATCCATGGCCCATGAGCATCTCACCTCACCAGCCCAAGCCCAGTAACCGCGTTGCAGAGGTGACGTCGTTTAGATCTTCCCTCTTCTCTGATCACACTCACTCGTCATTCCTTTGCCATTTTTGAACCTGAAGAAGAATCACAACCGAAACCTCAAGAATATTTGTGGGCTCTTTCAAATATTAAACATTGTTCTCCAAATTTCATTTTTTTCTCCCTTTACTCCTTTAAAATTCAGTATCTAGTTTTAGATCAGATAACTCAGTTCCATTTCAAGACTTCAAGAAGGTACACCTTCTCCTCCTCCACGTGGTGCTACTTCTCAGCTTGCTTCTTTAATTTTATTGTTTTACGTGCGTTCATTCATATACACACTTGAGATTCATTTCTTTCTTGCTTTATTTTACTTAATTTAGTCCCATTTCTTCTTTTTTTCCTTTTTATTTTTGGCTTTTGTGTGCATTAGGACGCATAAAAGTGCTAAAGAACAAAGTTTTATGCGGAAAATTTGCTGCCGGTTAGTTCATGCAATGGAGGAATTTATTAGTTTCCAGCTACTCTTTATATGCTACCTGAATGAACGATAGTTTAGTCTGTGCCCCTTTCTGCAGTTTTGATTTTCTAAACTTTCTTTTTGGCGGAAAATTGCCTATTGACCTGAACTTTATCTTTGGTGAATGGTGATGACCTTTTCCTGTAGGGGTTTTGGAACGGTGACCTCAGTTTCTGCACCTGGAGAATTTGAACTACACAACTTCCAATTCAGTTCCAGAAGTCCTTCTGGTTGGAAGATGAGAAATCATAGTTGGGAAAATAATTTTTAGCCACCATGTAATCATAGCAAGTACTGTTCAAGTTATTGTGGTGTATGTGTTTCTGTGTGTGTGTATGGATTTTTTTTTTTCCCTGGTAGTAATCCTACTTTATATATATTCTTTGCACCATTTAGGGGTTTGAATGGATGCAGCAGCTAGGTCTGCATGTGAGCGTGCCAACATAGACTTGTCTGATAATGGTAATGGTGATGGTGATTCCGGTGACTATAATAGGAGAAATGTTGAAGACAATGACATTAACATAGATGCCGAAAATATCAATGGACGTAAATCTGGTGGTGCTGAACCTCGCACTGGAAATGATAATACTCGTGAGGTCAGTTGGGTGGAATTGGATAAAGGTTTAGATGAGCTGACTGAGACAGAAGTTTTTAAACTGAAATTTGACTGCGATGAAGAAGCAGGAATGTTCTATGAGACTTACTCCAAACTTGTTGGGTTTACTGTCCGAAAGACATATACAAAACGTGACAAGGATAACGTTGTAATATACAGGGGATGGGTTTGTTCAAGAGAAGGTTTTGCAGAGAACAGGATAAATATCTGGGACAGGAGGCAAGATCCTAAACCAGGAAGCAGAGTTGGTTGTCTTGCTAGCTTTCGGGTCAAACATGAGAAAAAATCAGGCAAATACGTTGTTTCAGGTTTTGTTAAAGAGCACAATCATGAGCTGGCAGCTCCAATAGCTGTCCCCTATCTGCAGCCGCAAAAGCGTGCACGTACAGTAACTGTAGAAGTTGGGTTCACTAAGAAAGATATAGAACATGTGCAGGCTACCTCCGACATTCATGATGTTGACAACCGTTTCTTAACTCACAGTGTCTTAGCTTACTTATGTGCAAAGAACGACTATGATCCAGGGTTGTTTTATAAGTATGATGGTGATGATGAAAAGCAATTATTCAGTATATTTTGGGCAGATTCAAAGTCTAGAGCAGATTATGCCTTCTTTGGTGATGTTTTGGCGTTGAACACTAAGTTTAGAAAAAATGCTTATGGAAAACCCTTTATTATTCTTGCGGGTCTAAATAATCATTACCAAACAACTGTATTTGGTTGTGCACTATTGGGAGATGAAACAGCTGAGACCTATGTATGGCTCCTGGAAACATTTTTGGATGCCATGAATCACAAGGCACCTGTTTCAGTTATTACAGATGGTGACAAAGCTATAGAAGAAGCAATTGAGAAAATATTCCCCACATCTCAGCATCGTATATGCCATTGGCACCTGTATAAGGATGCTGTTGCTATTGCTGGTGACTCATCTTTTGGACCGGACTTCAAGAAGTGTATGGAGGAAAATTTGAATCCAGATGAATTTGAGGTGGCTTGGATCAAATTAATGAAGAAATATGGACTTCAAGGCCATCCATGGTTCGAAGAGATCTACTCCAGGCGTACAAAATGGGCAGAGGCATACTTGCGAGAGCATTTCTTTGCTGGTCTGAGTAGTATTCAGGGCCATGGAATGAATACATATTTCACCCAGTTCCTGCAAGTTCAGCTCAAGCTTCATGAATTTGTGAGGTACTTTGACAATGCTCTTGTTCATCTTCGTGAAGACGAGGCAAAAGCAGACTCTGAGTCAGAGAGCACATGTCCTGCTTTTTGTACAATTTTGAGGGATTTAGAGAGGCATGCTGCTGATGTCTTCACAAAAAGTATCTTTCTAAAAGTTCGTGAACAAATAATGGGTGATGCCATGCTAATCTTGAGCAATAAAGAGTACCTCAAAGATGAGGCCTGTTGGGTTTACAGATTTTCTGAATATATGAAGCCTGACATGATATGGAAAGTTCGCTATCATCCAACTATTCAAAGCTTGACATGCTCCTGCTTTAAGTTAATCAAAGATGGATTGCCTTGCTGCCATATAATTTCTGT